TCCCCGGGGGACTCCCAAAAGACCCCCGCCTGCCCAAAGAAACAGTGGGTCCTCGAGCTTGCCCGGCCGGCCCCCGGCTCCTCGGACACTTACTATGATGAGCAGGATAAAATAGATGAAGTTGTAGAAGGAGTGGGCATCCATCACGTAGTACATGATCTCCACCCAGCCTTCCAGCGTGATCACCTGCAGCCAGGACAGAGCAGAGGGGAGGGCGAGCCTGAGCCAGGCCGATTCTCAGGAAGGGCGGGCAGCAAAGGCAGCGCCCCAGACAGAGGCCCTACTGTGTGCCAGGACGCTTGACACGCATTACCTCTCATACAGGCCAGCCGTCGTCATCCTCATTATACAGGTGAGAAACTGAGGTTCAGAGAGGTTAGGACACCTGCTCAAGATCACACAGCCAGGGAGGAGAACAGAGGCTTGGTCCGATCCCTGTCACTCCAGAGCCCACCCCCTTCCCAGTCTACCACACCCTGCAAGTAGGGGTCCCTGGTCTCCGGCTCCGGCTCTCTCTAAACCTCAGCTGCTTCTCCTCCGTGTATGGGGCTGTGGAGCCCACCCAGCAGGGCTGCCTGAGCTCAGCAGAGCCTTGGAGTGTGGCAGTGATGAGGCTGGTGTGACTCTGTCCCCACACACTCCTTCCGGGAGAGGGAGGCAGAGCGACACACACAGGGTCCTCCTCCCCGGCTCTGCTGTCTGCTCACTGCTGGCAAACACACGAGCAGGTGGCCCCTGGGCAGCCCGCCTCCCCTCTCCAGCCAGAGGGTCCCAGGGTGCAGCGCTGGGCTGTGGTCACATCACACCTGGAAGCTCTGAATTCTGTGGTCCTGCCGCTCCCCAGAGCAAAGTGAGCGGAGCAGCCCCCCAGTAAGGCCCACCCCCTCCTCAGGGGCTTCACGCCTGCTCCTGCCCCTTCTCCCTTCTGAGGACAGCAGGAAGGTGACCTTACGGAGCCCTCCCCGCACACGGGGCTGACCGCTCTGCCCACATCATCTGGCCCATTTTTCTCTGCCACTCAAGGTGGGGGAGCTGTTACCCATTTTAGGGATGTGAAAACTGAGGCACAGAGACATCAAGCAATATCCCCAGGGTCCTACAGCCCTTTCTTTGAACCTCAGTTGCTCTGTCTATAATGTGGGCATGACAGTGCCTATTGTGCCAGCAAGTCGGGCAGATTTCAATGAAACAAGTGGCAAATGCCTGCCTAGCACAGAGCCCTGACGGCCAGGTGAGCTGCTCAATCCACCCCACCCCACCAACCCCCAGCCCCCAGGCCCCAGCATCGGGGCTAGTGTCTCGCCTGGAAGATGACGATCCAGGCATAGCCGATGTTGTCGAAGTTGATGGCCCCCTTGTGGGGGTTGGCGCTGCCCGTGCGGCACACGTTGTAGTAGCGGTTCCAGTTGACACAGAGCCCGCTGGCGTTGAGGTCCGGGCGCCCCGCCCCGAAGTCGTAGACGTCGTCCTTGGACAGGCAGCACTCGCGGCCCTGCTCCTTGAGCGGAGGGATCTCATGGCAGCCCATGATGCCGTTGTCCCCCGAAAGGGAGCAGATGAAGGGCATCTCGTCGTCCTCCTCCGGCTGGTAGTAGGGGGGCAGGGCCACATCCCCTTGTCTGTCCGCAGGTGATGGTGGGCAAAAGAGGAGAAGGGGAGGGGTCACTGCTATGGCCTCCAGGCCTTTGCACATGCTGTTCCCTCTGCCTGGGATACCTTTCCCCACCTCTGCCATGGCCACAAAACACGACCCCCCCCCCCCCGCCCCACAGAACCACTGTGGTCAGTTCCAGGGTCACCCACCCCCCAGGAGGCTTCCCTGAGGGAGCCTTCTCAGGATCAAGCAGGACTGATCCTGGGCCCGCTGTGGCCAGACTGTGCCCTGCACACGCCTCCACTATTGCTCCTGGGGCACATGCTCTCAACTCCCCTGGGAGGCTGGGCTCTTTTAGGACAAAGACTGGGTCTCAGTACTAGTCCCCACACACTGTTTGGTCAGCACAGAGTAGGTGCTCAATGAACAGATGCTGAGATTTACTGACCCACCCTTCCCATTGATGGGCCTCGGACTGGTCACTTCCCCTCCCTGGATTTCCATTTCCTTATCTGAAAAACAGAGATGACAATCCCTGCCCTGCCTCCTGCAGGGGTCATCTGTGATTCACCAGAATTCCAACCAAAACCTCAACAGGATTTTGTCTGTAGAACCTGGCCATATAGTTCTAAGATTTATCTGGATGAGAATAGTCAAGACAGTTTTTTAAAACAAGAAATGTGAGTGGCGTACAGCCCTGTAAGACAGCAATATACAAACTATGAATGCAATGATATTGTAACCAGAACAGAAAGAATCCTGGAACATCACAGTGCACTGGGGAAAGCCCATGTTTAAAAGAGAACTTAGTATATTACGAAGATGCCTTTTCAGATCCACGGGGAATGGAAGGAGGAAACAATAAATGGTGTTGGGATCATTGCTATCCATTTGGAAAATAATAAAGAAAGATCCCTACCTCACACCATACACACAATAAAGCAAGTTGGAGAAAAGAAAATGTTATTAAGAAAATCCTGCCCTGGCTGGTGTGGCTCAGGTAGTTGGAGTGTCATCCCATGCACTACAGGTGCATGGGTTCGATTCCCAGTCAGGGCACATACCCCGGTTGTGGGTTCAATCCCAGGTTGGGGCCTATGTGGAGGCAACCGATCAATGTTTCTCTCACACATTGATGTTTCTCTCTATCTCTCTCCCTTCCTCTCTCTCTAAAATCAATTTGAAATTTTCTTTTCTAAATAAAAGAAAATCCTAAGGTTCATCTTAGGATTTTACATTGTCACAAATCTCCAAAAAATTTCCAATATATTTCTCAAAAACAACCTGTGTATAAGTGGACCCATGCAGTTCAAACCCGTGCTGTTCAAGGGTCAACTGTAGTTTGCTGCTTCCACTGTGTTGGCCCTGATTCCCAATTACCAACCGAAAACTGTATTAAGTGAGAGTCACTAGGAGCTGAATGAACATCTCAGGGCCCAGTTTAGACGGGGACTTTGCGATACCAGTTTTGAGAGCTCAGAGGCCTTCATGCTCATCTTGGCATCCAGCCAGTCAGAGGAAGCCCGCCACCAACTCACCTGGCACATCGCTGACCTCCCTACACCACTGGGAATAAGGATTGGGAACAGGGGCTCAGTGGGGAGACCTTCCTGGCCCTAATATACTCAGCACCACGGGTGCCCCAGGTGAAGCTGCCGGGAGCCCCCTGGGGGCGGGCCCGCACTCACATGGTGAAGTTCTCCTCCAGGAAGCAGCGGTTGCGCAGCAGGCCGGCCCAGAGCTGCACGCCGATGATGCCGAAGATGAAGAAGACGAAGAAGCAGAGCAGCAGGACGTTCCCCAGCATGGGCAGCGTGTCCAGGAGCAGGTTCACCAGGATCCGCATACCTGCAGGGGAGGGGGGGGGGTGGGGGTGGTCAGACAGGGAGCAGAGGGCCCGAAGAGGAGCCGGGAGAGCAGGGAGAGAGAAACAGAGAGGGGAGTGGGAGGAGAGGTGGAGCCACGCGGCCCAGACCTTCTCCTTGGTATCTGCCCCTCCACCCAGGGGCCATGGAAATGGCTCTGGGCCACACCACACTTCCGCTAGAGCAGTGGTTCTCAACCTTCCTAATACCGCGACCCTTTAATACAGTTCCCCATGTTGTGGTGACCCCCAATTTCACTGTTACAAATTGAACATAATTAAAGCATAGTGATGAATCCCAAAAACAATATGTAATTATACATGTGTTTTCCGATGGTCTTAGGCGACCCCGGTGAAAGGGTCGTTCGACCCCCAAAGGGGTTGCGACCCACAGGTTGAGAACCGCTGCTCTAGGAAGCAGCGCAGGACAGTCCCTGCCGGGCTGCTCCCCCGGGCCCAGCCTTTTTGCTCAATTAATTACATTTCCCTTGTTCTCCAGGATATTAAAATTCTGAAAGGCTCCTGAAAGCCTGCCCGGCTGACCTCCCTGAATGGCAGCTGATCCCTCCTCCCCCCACCTCCCTCTATTGAGCTGGGCCCCAGCTCACTGTCCTCCCTGGGGCCCCGGGAGTCCCAGGGCCATGGAGCCAAGGCATAATTAGCTAATTAGGAACTGAGAACAAATCCATCATTTCCGTGCGAGGGACAGCGAGCCATGGAATTAGGGACTCCAGGAGGACTCGTGAGACCCTAGCTAATCCTCTTTTTATGCCCACAGTCAAGGAATTAGCCAAGGCACTGGGCACAGGAGATGGAGGCAGAGAGAGGAGAGAGAAACAAAAAGACAGATAAAGAGAACGTGAAGAGACAGAGAAACATGGAGACAGAGGACAGAAATGGAGAGAAAGAGAAACAGACAGAAACACAGAGGCTGCCTTCAAGACCTGCCACCATCTGCTTCAGACCACTCCTCTCCTTCCACATCTTCCCCTTGCCAAGTCCTCCTCCTCCAGGCAGTCTTCTCGGATTCCCACCCCCCAGTTAGCCATGAAGCCCTCCTGGAGCGTACTCGGTTCTGCTCTCCTACTGACTTTTCTGGCCTTTAGCCTAGCGTAGGAGCCAGGTGGGCCTGGACGGGGGGGCAGTCTGCAGGCAGGGAGAGAGTATGGCGTGTCCTGTGGGTGGCACCAGGGTAGGGACCATCTCTGGATGGCATTTATTTTACTTTTAAATATTTTTTATTGATTTCATAGAGGAAGGGACAGGGAGAAAGGAATAGAAACATCAGTGATGAGAGAGAATCATGGATTGGCTGCCTCCTGCACGCCCCACACTGGGGATCGAGCCTGCAACCTGGGCATGTGCCCTGACCGGGAATTGAACCGTGACCTCCTACTTCATAGGTCAACACTCAACCGCTGAGCCACACCAGCCGGGCTGGATGGCATTTAAAGTCAGGAGCTGGGAGGAGACGGATGACAGATGGGCAAACTGCTGGAGCCGCTCAACCACTTCACCCCTTTTCACCAGGGACCCCTAGACAGGACCCTCTGTTCTAAGGGGGCCCTTTGGTGGCAGATGGGGACCTGGGAGGAGATGGCGGATGTGCTTCCTGACTGGCACCGCCCCTGGAGGTCCCAGTGCTCTCCGCAGACAGGAGCTGCCAGCCCAGATCAGCGCGGCCGCTCTGCCGGGCCCGCTCATGCAGAAACAGCCGGACTCGCAACAGCCTCAGCCGGGGGCACAGCCCACAGCCAAGAGGGGGGCAGTCAGGCCGAGGGCAAGGCGGCCACGGCTGCAGCCTGACCACGGGGCTCCCCTCTCCCTCTGGTCTAGCCAGGTGAATGGAGGGTGCTGAGTGGCCAGGAAAGGCCGAATGCTGCTCCTGCCACTGCCAACGCCAACTAATGGTGGGTGCCCAGAAGGTCGGGCCAGGCAGCATACGATCCAGCCTGAGGGCACAGATGCTGTCCCAGCCCAGCTGGGGACGACGGTGAGCTGATGAGGGGCCTCAGAGCCCACACCCCAGGCAAGGAGTGTGCACCCTTGCACCCTCCATCCCAGGAGAGGCCTTGGGTTCCTTCCCAAGGTCATCACGCTCATGCCCTCGGGTGTGGGTCCGGCCCATGTCCCACTGAAGGTGCCCACAGCCACTGTGGCACAAAGATCTACTCATTCTTCAAACGCCCTCCCCCACCCAAAGTACCTGGGGCCCTTCCCCGGGGCCCCCGCTGCCTCCATTAGAACACGTGTCCCACTGGCCCACACGGCTGCCTGCAGCAGTGGTTCTTAACCTGTGGGTCACGACCCCTTCGGCGGTCAAATGACCCTCTCACAGCCGTCGCCTAAGACCATCCTGCATATCAGATATTTACATTACGATTCATAACAGTAACAACATTACAGTTATGAAGTAGCAACAAAAATAATTATGGTTGGGTCACAACATGAGGAACTGTATTTAAAGGGCCAGAAGGTTGAGAACCACTGGACAGAGAAGGGACTGGGGTGCCTACATGCTAAAAGGAGAGAAAGGGGGTCATGAAAAGGAGCAACACGCTCGGGTTGTGCAAGCACAGGTTCCAGCCCTGACTCTGCTCCTGGCCAGCTGGTGGCCTCCGTTTCCCCATCTGTAAAGGGGGCCAGGATCCTAGGGCTGTCGTGGAGATGAAATAACCTCACCATGTAAAGCACCCTGGCGGTTTGTTGTAAGCACCCGACACACTGTAGCCATTTATCATTCGCAGAACTTTTCTGGAAGATTCGGAAAGTCACTCCCGCTCTGCCCACCTGCAGTCCCTCTGCCAGGACCACACTACTCCCAGGCCGGCTCCTCCTCTGCCTTTGCTGTGGGGGTTGTCTGCCAGGAACACCCCCTTAACCCTCTTGCGCTTGGTGAGCGTCTTCCAAAACCTGGTTCCGCAAAGGCGTCCTGAGCCTCCACCCTCAACGCTCCCAGCACCTCTTCATAATAACAGCGCCAACTAACCACTTACTGCATGCAAGGCTCCCCGCTAAGCTCTTTACACACATTACGGCATTGCACCCTTTCAAAACCACATGGAAATTGCTATTACCCCATTTTATCTTAGGAGAATGGAGGCCCAGAGAGGAGCGTGGCTTGCTTGCAGCCAGTGGAGGGACCTCCAGTTCCTGGGCCTGCAGCTGGGGTGGGACAGCAGCCTTCCCCCAGCTCGTCAGCTCTGCTGCCCTGCCCATGGGCCTGCCCTGGGAGCTCGCTCTCCACCTCTGCACCGCCCACCCCAGGCCCAGCCCAGAGGCCTCTGCCTGGAGATGAGCTGTTGCTGATCCAGGGATTGTGGCTGGACGGGGACGTTGGGGGTGGGCAGTGGCCCAGGCCAGGCTCAGCATCTCCCCCAGCTGCCCTTGAGCTCCCCAGGCCTCCGTACCCGCCGCCACCACAGCCTGGGCCGGGGTGTGCTGTGGCCAGGTGTACATGGGGCCAGCAGCTCAGACTCCGCCGGCTCAGGCCTTCGCAGTGACTGCCCTACTTTCTCACTGGAGAAAAAACAACCTTTCGTATTTAAATGGCTGGGCCAGTGGGCTTTGGAGGCACTACACAGGCTTAAGGGGTGTGTAGGCCAGGCAAGGCAGGAGTCACCGGGTGCCAGAAGGGGGCACTTTTATTTTTTTAAATATATATATTTTTTTATTTCAGAGAGGAAGGGAGAGGGAGAGAAAGATAGAAACATCAAAGATGAGAGAGAATCATTGATTGGCTGCCTCCTGCACACCCCACACTGGGGATCGAGCCCAGAACCAGGGCATGTGCCCTGACCGGGAATCAAACCGTGACCTCCTGATTCACAGGTTGACGCTCAACCACTGAGCCACGCCGGCCGGGCAGAGGGGGCGCTTGTAGAGATAATCAGCCCCATCGTGCCAAGGCCCAGAAAGAGCCAGCGACGTAGGAAAGGTCACACAGCCAGGAACCAGAGCCCAGCCTCTTGACGCACAGTCCAGTGTTCCCTTCTCTCCACCCTGTCTCCTTTCCTTTACCCATCAATGGGTGAGTGGCCGGAACAGAGACCTGCAAGGGTGGGCTGGAGGGACACCCTTTGCGGGGTTTCATAAAGAACACCATGGCTTCCAGGTCCCCGACCCAACCTGCACAACGTTTAAAACCACGCATCTCGTCGAACCCTGCCCCCTGCTTTGTGCCAGGGGGGGAACTGAGGCCCAGGGACCCTCGGGGGCCCCCCAGGTCACACAGCATGCTCCTGGCAGGGCTGAAAATCAGGACTTGCGCTCCTGACAACCCCACTGCGTCTCCCTGGCGGGTCTTGTTCTTAAACTACTTTTTAAACGGCAGGCAGCCACCCCGCTCTCCACTGCTGTGTAACTGGTAACCTGTCATTTGACTTTGCCCTTTCCCAGCTCTCCAGCCTGCCATCTAGTGGCGGACGTGAAAGCTACGGCTGCTGTGGAGAAGATGCCGCTCTAAGGAGGCGATCTTCAGAGGCACTTGGGGAGCCTGTGTCCCCCTCATGCATCCCCTGGTGACTGGGGCAGAGGGCATGCGCCTGGGCACCCAGCTGCCCCTCCTGCCAACGGGGCGCTGGACCAGTGGGCCTGCCCCAACCGCCTGAGGCTCCTGTCAATTAAGTTACTCAAGAATATGACTTTACCTCAGGTCCCCTTTCCAGGGGAGCAGGGGAGGTTTCTAGATCAGGGGAGGGAGTGCGTCGGTTATATTGTGGGTCCCAGAGTGTCTGGGCTCCCAACACGCCTCGCTAGTTCTGAGAGAAGATTCATTTGTGAACCGGCTGAGAGACGGAGCCAGCTCAGGGCGGACACAGGCACTCCCATCTCCCCACCCTGAGCCTCCAGGGTCCTATTAGCAGGTGGGGGGACCCCTAAGGAAGGACCCCAGCCCTCTGCAGGCCTGGTCCCTGCAGCCTCCAAAATAGGGGCCTCCAGGTTCTCTGGAGAACCAGGCAGGCTGGCGGGAGGGACTTGAATGTGACCTCCCGCCCCAGCTGGTATGGCTCAGTGGATAGAGCGTCGACCTGCGGACTGAATGGTCCCAGGTTTGATTCTGGCCGAGGGCACGTGACCAGATTGTGGGCTTGATCCCCAGTAGGGGGTGTGCAGGAGGCAGCCCATCAATGATTCTGTCTCATCACTGATGTTTCTATCTCTCTCTCCCTCTCCCTTCCTCTCTAAATCAATAAAGATATATTTTTTTAAAAAAAGAAAGAAAGTGACCTCCACAGCCAGGAGCCATCCAATGAGCTCCCACACAGTGGGAGAGGGAGGGAGGGAGACACACGTGCCCACATGCCCCATGTGTGTTCATGTCACATGTGCACACACCCCTATGTGCACATTCCTCACATGTGCACACTCACATTTGCACACCCCACACACACGCACACACCTTCACATGTATATACCCCTCAGATGTACACACATACCTTTACATGTGTGCACACAGCCACATGTGCACACCCCTCACGTGTGCACACCCATTCACATGTGCATACCCCTCACGTGTGCACACACCCCTCATATGTGCACACACGCTCACATGTATGCACAGCCTCACATCTATACACACACCCCCATGTGCACACACACCCCCACATGTGCACGCCCTTCACATGTGCACACCCATTCACATGTGCATACCCCTCACGTGTGCACACACCCCTCATATGTGCACACACGCTCACATGTATGCACAGCCTCACATCTATACACACACCCCCATGTGCACACACACCCCACATGTGCACACCCTTCACGTGTAGGTGGGTGATAAAGCTCAAGTTCGAAGTCACTTAGCACACGTGAGGGAGCCTGGGACCCTCCTTGGTGAAAAGCTGCACAAGGTCCTCCCTCACACTCCGCAGCTCCGTTCCACACCTGGCCCGCTGTGGCCACCGCCTCCCCCGGGAAACTCGCTCCTGAAAGCCAGGTTCCCCAGCGCCCTGCAAGCTTCAGGCCCAACACTGGCCCGTGAGCCCTGTGGGAGCAGGACCGACACCTGTCCGGTCACTGGGGGTCCCCTGCCCAGCACAAGCCTGGCCCCGAAAGGGTGAATGGGGTCTCTAGGGGCCAGGGGGGTGGGGCACCAACTCACTGGGCACTCGGTTGATGGCCTTGAGGGGCCTCAGGACACGCACGGTGCGGATGGCCGACAGGTTGATGTTCTGAAGGTCCAGCGAGTACTCCACCATCCTGTGGAGAGAGGGGAAGATGAGGACGGTGCAGGAGGGCCAGGCAGGGCCACAGGCCGGACCACAGAGGCCCCTGGCCACCCACACCCACCCATGTGTGCCCACGCCTGCCTGGGAAGGTAAGTAGGAAAAGGAGGTCAGAATCCAGGCGGTGCCCAGTCCACTGTGTGGCCCCGAGCTGTCTCCTCCTCTGAGAGGGGGTGGGGGCTGGTGACACCACCCTCCCAGGCTGCCCTGAGGATCAGGAGTTGTTGCTGGGGACAGAGGGATGGAGGGGCCGAGGCCTGGGCCCCCACTGTGGGCCGGTGGCTCCCGCCCCGCCTCCGGAGCAGCCTCTGGCCCAGGGAGGGTCAGCCCCATTCCTAGGAGGGAGGACTGAGCAGCGGAGGTCGCTGGGCTGGCCCAGCTGACAGCTGGACGTCACGGTCCTCATCTCTGTCCACTGGAACCTTCTTTACGCTTAAGGTCCCGTGCAGTTGCCCTGACGTCCACACTGAGCCAGGCAGCGAAGGGGAAAGTGAGCCCGAGAATGACTCAGACCCGGCCCTTCCCTCAGCAGTACCCACTCCGCAGGGGAGAGACTCAAACCGGAGCCCTCACCATGGCCCTGGTTTTCTTCCTCAGGGGGCCCCCCAAACAGGTCCACCTCCCCCTGCAGCTCTGCGGCATCAGACCTCCACAGGCAGCAGAACTCCAGGTCCCCTCTGTGGTTCCCTGCCCTTTCACCAGATCCTACCTGCCCCCCGCCCCCCACCCCACTGCCCCAGCGCCGGCAGCCCCAGCCTGACCCAGCCCCACTCACCAAACCTTTCCCCCAAACCCCCACCCCCACCCCAGGGCTCCAGCACGGAGGCCGGCTCCACCTGCCGCCTCCGTCATCAGCAGGAAATGAAGGCTTTTTCCACGCACCATGCAAACCTGTCCGATTGTTGTAAAGCCTCCACCCCCTACTGCTGCTTGAAGAGTAATTGAGTGAAAGCTTCCTTTGCCTGAAATGCCTCATCCATCCCCCAGCTTTCTAGGGCACAGGCTCTGGCTCAGCTCTCTCTCTCTCTCTCTTTCTTTCTTTCTCTCTCTCTCTCTCTCTCTCTCTCTCTCTCTCTCTCTCTCTCTCTCTCCCCCTTCCTCCCTCTTTCTGTCTCCCCCTTATACACACACAATCACACACCTGCACACAACCATTGGTGCACACACACACACTCACCCCTTACACACCCTCATTCACACACACACTCCTTCCAGAGCCCCAATTCAGATGAGGGGGCGTGACCCAAAAAAAGGTGACAGAGGCCTAGAACTAGAGACAGACTCCTGGGGGATCAGAGGAGAAGGGAGGCAGGGAGGGAGGGGTGCCAGGGGCAGCCGCCCTGCAGAGAGGGGGAGGGTTGAGGGGGATGGGGGGCCGTGAATGAGGGCAGAGGATGATCTGAGAGGGGGGCATCGAGAGAGTGGAGCTGTATGAGGATTCCGCGCGTGGGTGAGCCAAGCTGTCGTTTTCATATTTTGTAGAAAGAGCTCTCCAGGCAGCCAAGGAGATATGTGTGATGAAGGCGCTGTGGGGGTGGCACACATGGGCACACAAACAGGCGCTCTTACACTGATGTGCACACACACACACACACACACACACACACACACACACACCAGGCCTAGGAGAGCCACCCCATCACTCCATCACAGGCTCAGCTCCTGCCAGCCCCTCCCCCGCACCCCCCCAGGAATGCAGCCCGCTGCCTCCTGCCCAGGCTCTCTCCCTCCTGCCAAGGGGGCAGCACCAGGCCCTGGGAGAGCTGGGCCCCCCAGGCTGTGGATGCCTCGCTGGGTTGCTGGAGGTGGGGGTTCCCAGCCGTGCCAGGCTGAACCCACCTGGCTCTATGTTCCAGGAGCCCCAGGCTCACCTGGTGAGGTCCAGCAGGTGCCAGACCAGGATCGGTTCCCGTCCCATGAAGTCTCACAGTAAAAATAAACAGATGCTTCACCGAGGATGGTGAGCCAGAAAAAGCAAATGGCTTTGAAGGCCTGCTGCCTGCCAGGCCCTGCTCGCATTCTCGCCCCTCGTTAGCCTGTGTGAGCTCCCGCACCACCTGGATCGCACCTCCACCCTCTTCATGCTCCCCAGGACCAGGGCAGACCACGGCCACCGCCGCCAGGGCACGGCTGCGGGAGCCCTCAAGACGACGCTGCCTGGTCTGACTCCCCGTCCCTCCTCCCAGAGCCCAGGTCCATGGCCACTTAAGAAGGCACCCTCCCTTCACCCCGACCTGATGCCCCGGATCTTCAATGTGGGAACACGCCTCCTGCAAAAAGCCCCAGGACCTCCTCAGTTGCAGCCCTCAGGGTCCCCACTGAAAAGCTCCCAAGAAAAATCTCTTGGAAAATTTAGTGTCAAGATCTTAGCTCTGTTTGAGCTTCCTGGCTGTCAAGTCAAAAAGGGAAATGTGATGAGTTACTGAGTTCTGAGCAGCATGGAAGATCTTATGGATTCCTCCAGGGACTCCATTAGCCTACACATTCCTCCCAGGTCCTAATTCTCTTTCATCTTCCATGAACCTCATGGGGTGTTTGCCGCAGTTGCCTCTCCTGTCTGGGGAACAAGATGAGGTGTAAACGCATTCAGTGATAAAGGGCACATAGTAGGTGCACAATGAGAACTCAGAAATTCTCATTCCTCTCTGAGAGGAGGATCCCCTGGACAGGATGGGGAGGGCTGGGGAGAACATGCAGCTGGGAGGGAGGGTCTGTGGGTTTCACTCTCTGCCCCGGAAGCACACCGTCCTGATGGCGACTCCATGCACCGATGCGGACAGTCTGCCCACAGCTCCACCACCCCTGCCTGCGTCCGGAAGCCCTCCCTCTCCTGACACCGCAGCAGCCTCCCGGCTAGTCTCCGGCCTCCTGCCTCCTCCCCAACAGCCCACCTTCCGCAGGAGAAAACCTAAAACTAAAATCTAGCTGTGTCACTCCCCAAGTTCAACCTTCAATGTCTCCCCACTGCTCTCAGATCAAAGACCCCGCCCCTGGCCTCGGCCTTCAAGGCCCTCCAGTCTGCCTCGGTCCCCTCCCCCACCCTGCTCCTACCCCAGGCCTCCCAGACACCACGCCAGGCCCAGGAGCTCCCCACACACACCCTTCTCTCCCCCTGTCCTCTGCACAGTGCCCTTTCTCCTCACTCTCATCCTTCCTTCTCCACGAAGCCTTGCACCCCTCCCTGCACCCCAGGCTGATGTGCCATCTCTGCTCCGGCTCCTTCCTCACCCTGCTAGTCTGGGTTCCCCAAGCAGCCCTGAGCCAAGGACTGGGAGCAGCAGTTTACCTGGGAGGGGATCCCAGGAAGCACAGTGAGGGGCTGTTCACCAGCAGGTGACCCCTGAGGGCAATGACGGTGCCATCCCAGTGGGACCCCCCCCCCCCCCCGAGACCTTGTGGTCCCTGTGAGGGCAGGGGCTGCAGGATTATCCCAGGACTGGCTGAGTACTGGCCACGCCCTCTCTCCTCCTCAGACACAGCACCCGCACCAGCCCTGCTGCACACAGTAGGCACGCAACACACAGTAGGCACTCGGGGAACCTAGAAGCATGAGTAACACCTGTGACAGGTGCTCTCCTCCCCTCTCCTCCCACCCTGAGTGACAGCTGCAGGAGTGTCCCAACCCCAACAAGAGCAGGTGAAGAGGGGCCACTGTGGGTGAAGAAGCGCCGGGCTGGCTCCCCTCGGGCCCCAAGTTAAGACATCACTTGCGGGAGTGAGAAATTAATTCCTAATTGCACAGTTACATTATCACACGGCTTCAGTGCTAAAAGTCTAAAAAATCAACAAAACCCCCACTCCCTCCTGCCAGCTCCGAGCGCCTAATTAGGTAGGTGATTTTGCTGTAAAGCGAGCACTTCTGTCCTGACATCACCCCAGGGGAGAGTGGCTGCACCCGGTTCCCAGGTGTCATCTGGGGAGAGGGACGCGGGTGCAGCCAGGCTGGGGTGGGGCTGCAGGGCGGACATTCACTCTTGGGGCGCCGTGAGCCCCACTTAGTCCCGCTGAGGAGCCTCCTTCCCTCCCGCCCACCCTCCCCCCCCATCCCAGGAGAGGCCCAGAGGGAAGCCAACCCGGGCAGAAACCCAGGTAAGCCGACCTCCCCCGGCCACCATGACTGTTGGGATGGGCCATATGATCCCAGGCAGACCCAGCCCTTGAGCCAGCACTGCAGGGAAGAGGCGCCTCCCTGGCTAAGCCACCGCCTGGAAACCCGGAGGCGCTAATGGCCATCTTGCCTCTGCGGTGGCCTGAGAATTTTGCCAACACAAAGGAAGGCTGAGGCCAGAGCGGCAGAGCGGCAGGATCCTGACCATATGGTCCGACCACTCCCTGCAGCTGTACCCGGACCCCGCACCCGCCCTCTGTGCTTCCCGTCCTGTGAGCCAGTCCATTCCCTCTGGGACTTGGGGCCCGTGTGCACTGGCTTCTGTCACAGCAACCCGGAGTCCTGGCTGATCCACAGGGTCTCCGAGCACTCGCTCTGCGCCCCGCTTCCCGTGGTGGGACCAGGCGCCACCGAGGTGAGGAAGCCGAGGCTCGGAAAGCGCCCAGGTCACATGCCAGGGAGTGGGGGGTCCAGGGGCTCTGTGGGACACCCCCCCCACACACACACACACACCTCATCAGCCATCAGGCCAGGCCGCCTTCTGGCTCCTGAGCACCCCCCAGATGGCCAGTAAGCACAGCACAGATGGCAGCACACGGGATAGGGCCAGCACGGGGCAGTGTGTCCCAGTGGTTAGAGCCTGGGTTCCCATCCCGGCTCCGCTGCTAGTGCACCGCGTGACCTCGGACGAGTCACCAAACTGACCTCACGGGGGTGTGGGAGGAGGAAAGTGCTCCTTCATGGATTCAGCGCTTAGAACCGAGCCTGGTACAAGTCAGAGCCAGACAGTGTCAGCCAGTCTAAGGCACAGCCTCGTCCGCTGCCTCGGGTCCCGCTTGCTCACGAGTCACAGGACGCCTGCCTCAGCCCTTCCCTGGACCCACCTCCTGCCAGAGAGCCAGGCAGTAGGCCTCTGGAAGCTCCCTGGCACAACCCCAGCACTGCCCACCACTCGCCCTGCATCCAAGGGACACCCAACGTCTCCAGCTCCCAGAGAGTACCATGCTGTCTCCAGCCTGCACAACCCGAGTCCTGGCCGACTCACAGGGCTCTGCCTGGAGTGCCCTTCCCAGGTTTCCAGCTCCCACCCGGGGCAGAGCTGAGCGCTCCTGCCTGTGCCCCCCGTGCCTCTATTGGGGCACCCCTGGCTCTGAGGCCTGCTCTGTCACCGTCCTGTTCCGCAGAGCCAGGGCTAGCTCACTGTCCCTGCTGGGTCCCCAGCGCCCAGCCCAGGGCTCCCCACGCCAGCTTGTCAAACAAATGACTTGAAGGCCTGGATTGGCGGGGTTGGGGGGCGGGGGGGAATGCTTGGAGCTAACAAGAAACATCAATGACTGAGATTGAATGTCTTTCCAGGAAATACCCCTCCCTGGAGATGATTTCTGTGTGTTGCTGATAAAAATAGGGTGTTTCCTCAATCTTTTCAAGGGGCCCATGGGGCCTTTTCTTATAGTTTAAGATGTAGCTCATGGAAAGGGAAGCTGGAGATGCTGGAAACAGCGGATCGTCTGTCAGGAGGCAGCTCTGTGCTGACTCAGGCTGGTAACTAGACC